AAACACCTGGAATGGGGTCCAGTCCTGAGAGCCCTAGCACCGAGCTGTATGACCTCGAACTGGTCACCTCCCCCTGCTCGCTGCTTACCCCTCCTAGTTTTTCTCACTGTAAAATGAGAAATTTGGACCAAGTCTCCCCTAGTCATTTTCAAACAGTTTGTGCTCTCAGCAGAGGGCCACAGGCTGTGTCTTCAGTGTAGGGAGTGTGCAAGGCAGAGAAGTAGGGATGCTAGGAGGGAGACCGTACCCCAGATGGAGTCAAGTGGTCCCCATCTGAGGCCCTGGGTTTAGAACCTGGGCAGCAGGGTGAAATGACGTAGTGGGTAGGCTCTGGGTCAAGCAGACCTGAAGTCAAATCCTAACTGTCACTAACTGGCTGCCTACCCTGCCTACCTTGGCTAAGCCATGTAACGTCATTTTGCCTCAGTTTCCCTCCCTTTCACATAGGTATCACAGTCCTGACCTCACAGGGTTGTGGGGAGGATTCAATGGCATGTAATAAGCTGAGTACTGTGAGCTGCTCATGGACGGTGTTTGGGTCGGGGACAGAAGGAGGACAGGGCTGGATCCCCCACACACAGGGACTAATTAGCACACGGTCCCTTCCTTGCTCCAGCATTGTGCGGGGTGAGGTCTTACTAAACCTACAGCAACCACATTTTCCAACCTTCGTCTAAAATAGGGCCTGGCAGTGGAAAGAGAATTAAAAATCAGAATTGTTCCACAAAGCCCAGGACGTGAGGCCACCATACTCCAGCCCTGTTCTTGGAATCCTGACAGGGGGTTGGCTTATCTCATCAAGATAAAGGCCGAGGGCCTCCTCCCATCAGTTAGGAAAGGCCTTCTCTGGAACCAGCTTCCACCGTGGGCCAATAGACCCATCTTATCCCACCCCCGCTGTCTGTGACAGGGCCTCAGTGTGGGGAGTCCAATTCAGAGGTTGTCTCCGGTCCCTGTTCCCAAGCGACCTCTGTTGCCTTCCTTGGATGGTGGTTCTGCAGCTCCCATGTCAAGTGCTGCTCTTAACTGGGAAGACGGCGTTCTCTGTCCTTTGGGCAAAGGTACCATAGGTGGGCAGGGTGGTGTTGGTGAGAGGGCCACTGTTAGAAGCTCACCAGCAGTAGGGGTGAGTGAAGAAGGGTTATAAGCCCACCCAGGGCCCTGCTGTGGATCTTCCCACATCCTCTGATTGGTAGGGACCTGATAGTCGACTGGGTATTCTGGGGTGCCAAGCCAGTCAGGTGGCCAGTCCAGAGACCTTGGGCCAGGGGCCTGGGTCAGCCATTCATTCAGTCACTCATCAAACGCCTCCTCTATGCCCATGTCCGTGCCCAGCGCTAGAGCCACAGAGATGAATTCAGTCACGGTCTCTGCCAATGGGGAACTCATGGCCTGGCTCTCTGTTGGATCCGGAATCTTCTTGGAGAAGGATGCTCTCTAATTACTCATGCATTTCCTTTCCTGCTCACTCTGAAACCTAGATCAAGATGTGCTTCTGCCTCCTCCTCTGTCTTGGCTTCCTCCGCCAGCGAGCCTTGACTCCCCGGGGCCTAGCAGTGATGTCCCAGTGTGGTTCCATCCCTCTCCTTGTGTCACCTCTCAGAGTCTCCCCTTGGGAAGTCCCACCCAGAGGGCTCTCTCGCCGTCATCCTCAGGAGGTCTCTGCCCGTGGGCAGCGCTGAGCACCACTTCGTCTTCTCTTCCTTTTCTACTCTTTTCTTCCATGTTCTCTTTTTGTGTCTGCTCTTCTTTCTCTCTTCTCTTTTCTTCTGTTTTTCCTCTTCTTCTGCCTACCCTCCCCCACGCCCATCCAGGCCCTTCCACAGCTGGACACCCAGGTTCCCCGTTCAAGTGACTTCTCCCCAGCCAGCATAAGGCAAGGAGCGTCTTCCCTTCTTCCTCTGCCTGTTCTCTGCCTCTGCCTTTCCTCCTTTCCTGGACTTCTGCTTCTTGAACCTCTGATCCCAGGCTTCTCCCAACCACCTCTCCTCACTGCCTCCCACAATCTCCCCTTGCCTTCATCCTTTCCATCCTTCTCCAGCTGAAGGAAGGGTGCCACCCCTCCTCTGAAGAGAGCTTGCGAGAGCTTCCGGTCCCCATCCTCCATGGCTCCACTGCCCATGCCCTGTCTCTGCACCCCCACCCCCCACTCCCTCCAGAAGTTTCTTTGTGCTCCTTCGTCATTCATCATTACCGCTGCCTTTCCTGCCTCCTCATTGCCTTCTTCTTTCTCTGGGAGTTTCCTCAAGCCTCCTGTAGCCTCTCTTGGGGTTCTCTGCAGGCTCTCATCACACCACCTTGCTTTCCTGATCCTCCAGCACCTGCTTTCTCTCCCTCACCCCTGCGCCCTTCCTCCTCCTCTCCTTCCCTTTGCCCGCCTCCCGCTGCCACCTATTCCAGTAGCAGGCTTCCCTTCGCCTTTCCGTCCTCCCTCCCCCTTCCACTGCTGCCTCTGTAACCTGTCTTATCACCAGGGCCTGAGTATACAAAAAAATAAATAAATAAAAAGGTCAGTGAGTGGAGGGAGCAGCAATAACCCCTAAAACAGTACTATCAGTGGAACATGATTGATCAATTGAATTCCATAGCGGCTGAAAAATGTGGGATTAAGTAGTGTATTATACGCACAATGAGTTGAGGCATGATGTTCATTTCAAGTTCATTTCGCCGGCCTCTGCCACCAGATCAGGCAATCAATAGGGGCAGCAGATATCATATATCACCTCTCTGCGGGCTGGGGAGAGAGCACCATAATCTCTCGCAAATTTAGAGTGACAGATTTGTCAAGATCTGAAGGGCCCCTGAATAAATGAAGGAAAAGAGACTCCTCCAGCCAGTGACCTGAGGACAAAGCTTCAGTTCAGCCCCCATACACACATACACACACACACACACACACGGTGGAGTCAAGCCACACACAGGCTCAGACACAGATCCACACAGGGGCACGCTGTGAGCCTTCCCACACATATGCACACACCCGGGCACTGAACGTGGGAGCACCTGCTCACAGACAAATGCACACCTTCCTTGCCGGGACCCATTTGGCGACACTGCAATAACCGCACACAAAGACACCACCACCTCGCTCGGCCGGACAGCAGGGATTCCCAAAGAGGTTAGGAGGATTCCAGTGGGAGAGGGTTAGACACAATGAACACGCAAAGAGCTACAGGGGTGGAATCAGGAGGCACATCCTTGAAAGAAAAGCAGGCACAGAAGAAACACAGGGCACCTGAGCTCACACTCCCCATGCGGTGAAACATGCATGTGTGCACACACACGCGCGTGCACGTGTGCTTGGAAAACAGCTCTCGTTCTGTCACTTACACAAACACCCACACGTATCTGTCTGGATGTTTACACGTGTACAAATGCGTATACACAGAGAATACCCACATGCAAGGAAAAACTAAGTGTGCCGCACCCTAACTTATATAAGAGAGACACATGCAGTGTCTTAGACAAAATCATTCCAGAGGCTTGCACAATAAAAAATACAACAACCAAGTTTTGTGCCCGTAGGAATGCAGGGAACATGGAAACCCCGTGGAGGCTGGCCCTGTGTCTGTCTCTCCACCTCAGCCTTCATCCTGCCCTTCATTTCTCTCTCTTTTACATGCGCGCACGCGCGCGCACACACACACACACACACACACACACACTTTCTTTGCTTTCCCACCTCCTGAGGAATAGAGTACAGGGAAGGGAAGATAGCGGGTCCCATTTGGAAAGCAGACCCCATGCTCCATCTGGGAAGCCGGAAGAGAGGATGGCTGCGGGTTGAGGTTAATCAATATGTAATATTTTCTATGGTCTCCCGAATGATACTGTACGGTGTTACTGTATATAATGCAATATTGATTATATCATATCGTATAATCACCTATAAACTGATATATATAATAGTCCCAGAGGAACACCCTGAGGCCTCCAGCATGTGCTGGCCCCAGGCCCAAGGCTCTTCTATGGGTCTTGGGCTGAAGGAAGCCAAGGAATGGCCACACTGGGGCTGGCGAGGACCCAGCCTCGGCTTGGGGAGTTGCCACGTAGATGTTCACAGAGAGAGCCAGTGAGGAGACTCTTAGCTCACTGCGTGCTCTGGAAACTAACAGACAGGATGCAGGGGTGCAGGGATGGGGGGAAGGGTAGCAGAAAGTCTGGGTAGAGCGGGACCTGGACAGAACTGGCCTGCAGCCACAGGGAGCAGGCACGAGTGTGGCACCTCCACAGCTTTTCCTTCACAGAGTGTGTCTCGGCTCTCTGTGACAACCACAGGAGGAGCCAGGCGCCCATGGGGCTGGCCCCTGACAGAGGTCTGGCTGGAGTCCAGGTCGGAGACAGAGGCTGAGGAGGGTAGTCTGGGTATAGGAGCACACTCTGGGCACAAAGACACTGTCTTTAGTCTCTGCCCAAGGCGGGGTCTCGCTCCTCACGTATCACCTGCTGTCCTCCTGCTCTGGTCTCTGTCTTGGCCCCACGAGAACAGAATCCCTCAGCTTGACTTTCAGAGTCCCTCCTCCCTCGGTGGTGAAGTTAATTACTTCACCCAGTCTCCGTGTTACACTCAGCCTCGGAGATTTGATAATTTTCCACCCTTGGAGTCAGTGGAACTGAAATTCATCTCAGAGCCGAGTTCAATTCTCCACAGGCTCGGTAATGCTGGTCTGAGACACCCAGCTCCTCCCCCAGGCTGACCCAGGCCTGGGGACAGAGGGGTTCTCGGAGACATTCCCTCAGGAGACCCCCTGGCTATAGCTCTGCCCAGTCCTTCCCACACCCCCGGCTGCCCACACTGGGACAACTTGCCTTTCTTTTCCCAGGTCCTTTAGAGGCTCTGGCTTCCCCAGCCAGATTTTGGAGGCATGGTCAGCCCCTGGGTCAGCTGCTCTAGCTTAAAAGTTGGGGGTGAGGGGTCCCAGCAGGGCTAGAAAGTCCCCTTGACCTACTATGCCTGTGCCAGCCTGCGCTGATGCCACCAGTGTCCATGTGTCCTCCAGATGTGTCCGAGGGCTCGGTCCCCAATGGAGACTCCCAGAGTGGCGTGGACAGTTTGCGGAAGCACTTGCGAGCGGACACCTTCACCCAGCAGCAGCTGGAAGCTTTGGATCGGGTCTTTGAGCGTCCTTCCTACCCCGACGTCTTCCAGGCATCAGAGCACATCAAATCAGAACAGGTGAGGAAGGACCTTTTTTTTTTTTTTAATATTTTATTTATTTATTTGACAGTAAGAGAGAGCACAAGTAGGGGGAGCAGGCAGAGGGAGAAACAGGCTCCCCATTGAGCAGGGAGCCCAATATGGGACTCCATCCCCGGACCTCGGGATTGTGACCTGAACTGAAGGCAGCCGCTTAATGACTGAGACACCCAGGCACCCCAGGAAGGAGCTTTCTGCTTGCAGAAGTGGACAGGGACGGGGCAGGACAAGGCCTCTGAAAAACGTGTGTACCCAGCGTCACCCATGTGACATACAGGTACACCACGTGCATGCCAAGTAGACACACTCATACCGAGACGCTATGGTAGTGTTCAGAAAAACCATTATGGTATATGGCAGTTAGAAATGATGAGTTCTGGGTGATAGGTCTTGGGTAAGTCTTGTTCCCTTTCAGAGCCTCAGTTTCCCCATCCGTAGAATGGAGGACTTGGGTAAGGTCTAATGGGTCGCTTCTGGCCCTGCCGTTCCACGCATGTGGCATAGAAGACCCAGGACACGTCCTTGTCCTCTTGCCATGTCCCTTGCCTAAATGCCTCGGAGGTCTTACAGAAAGTTTGGGCGAGACCAGGGTGCTCTTCTCTCCCTCGGGGCCTGCCTCCTGCTCCCAAGTCCAGCTGTCCCGTGTGACCCGAGGTCAGCTGATGGCCTATCCCTCTGCCCCCATACTTCGTCCAGATGCAGAACGGCCCTGTGCACCACACAGCCCACAACACACCCGCACAATACACAACGTAGACACATCTCCTAACTCCTCACATTTACCCTTGTGCACGTGTTTACCACCACAGGCACCTGCTCCCTCCCCCGCTCACAGCTCACACTCCTGCTAGCACACGCTCCCCCCACCCCATCTGCCAGGAGGGGGGCCTTCTCCCAGACCACAGCTCGGCACACCCCCAGCACCGGCCTCCATCCACACATCCAGAGGGGCCCCAGTGCACACACTCCCATTCCTCCCACACCTAAGGCCCTGGCCAGGCTCACAGCCACCGCACAACCCCGTCCGCTGGGCTTGCACGCACACACGCACGCTCACGCGCTCTCACACCCGCGCAGCCCTGCAGGCTCCACGCGGCGCGGTTCCGCTCTAGGACGCCAATGGCTCCCAGCCACTCGCCTCTCTCTCCGCCCGTCCTTTTATCCCATAAGCTGTTTGTCTTCATAAAACAAAAATCAAAAGTCTTTTTAAGGTGCCCTGAGCCATAAACCAACAAAGGAGGAGCCGGCCGAGGCGGGCGGCTCGGTGCACCCTCCACGAGTCCCCGGCTGTATTACAATGAATAACCTTTATTTACTTTCATTAGACTATTAAACACCAGCACAGTCATTTTTCCCCCTGAAACTCGGAGCAGGGCCCATAAAGCAAATCCGAAGCCTAATTGAGTTCATTTTAATTTCTCTCCGATCACAGCGAATTACTCTGGTGATAAATCAGGGGGCAGCTTCACCCCCAGTAGAAGGCCTAATTTGCAGCTAATTACAAAACTGATTTCTACAGGAAGATCAATACGAGAAGGAATTGGAAATGACGAGGCAATCCCGGCCAGCCAGGGAGGGGAGGGGGCCCTCTGGGGGGGCCAGGAAGCGGAAGGGAAAAAAACAGACCCGAAAGAGCAGAAAATCAGTTTTAATTTAACGTAATATTAATCAGAGCAACTTTTCCTGCTTTGTGCAAGCTCCTGGTCGGCCCGGCTCCGGGGTCTGGCTGAGCAGTGACGGCAATAAAAAGGCAATTACCCGAGTGTTTCGGGCAGGACACCCTTTCAGAGGCAATGACTGGCCCCCTCCCACCCTTCTGTTAGCCATGTGGACTCTCCCCCTCCCCAATTTCATACCCCAGTGCACAGGCAGAGAGCGAGGGGCCCGTGGGGCTGTCTTTGTTTGTTTTTTAAAAAGGGGGCGCCAGCACCCTATCAGCCAGCCCAGCAGTGCCAGGCCCAAGGCCCCCCTAGGCCCTTCCCCCAGCTCCTGCCTCTGCGGGCCCATCAGGGTCCACCCCTCCTCCCCAAGACTCCAGGGGGACCTGAGAACACCCCTTGCTTCTCAGCAGGGGGGCCCCAACTGCTACACTCCACCCTTGGGGCTTTGTCGGCAGGAGAGGCTACAGCAGTTCAGAGAGGGCTGGGATCACCACCACCAACTATCCTCTAGCTACCCCCAGTTGGGTATCCCCCACCCACACAAAACTCTCCGTCATCTGCTGAGCCCACCCCTCCCTTGCTCCCCTCCCTCTGCCTGGCCATCTCCTTCCGCCCCATCTGGGAAGGCTCCCTGTCCCTCCCCCCCATCTGCACACTGAGCCCTCTCTCCGCGTGTGCACATCAGTAGAGAGCTGTCGCTTTTCTCTCTTCTCCCAGGGGAATGAGTACTCCCTCCCAGCCCTGACCCCCGGGCTTGATGAAGTCAAGTCGAGTCTATCTGCATCCGCCAACCCCGAGCTGGGCAGCAACGTGTCAGGCACGCAGACATACCCTGTTGTGACCGGTAAGGAGGCTTCCAGGAGGTGGGGGGAGGCACTGATTTCAGTAAGGGCACCTCAGCCCATGCCATCTGGGGCCCAGTGGGACAAGTGGGCCCCTTGTCATGATATCTGCAGAGAGAGCGAGCCTCCGAAAACCAGGGTGCTTTCTGAACAGATGTGTGCAGATGTGAGGAGAAGAGATTGTGGTCAAGGTCTCTGTGTGCTTCCGCCTGGAAAGGTCGAAGCTAGGAGGAGCTGTTGCTGGTTCCTTCTGCCCATCCTCTTGCCTCTCTCTTTGCCTTTTCTCTTGCCACCCGCAAGGTGCCCGGAATCAGATGCCTCTTGGCATCTAGGATGTGCACAGAAGAGGGCAGAGGGTAAATAATTTAGGCCAGACTGGGAGGAGGAGGGCGGTGTCCAGCCTCCCTACTGCCATGCCTCCAAGGATCCTCGGGGGTCCACCTTCCTCTCCTTCTAGGCAGCCTGGGGAGCTGCGGTTTGGGGCTTCAGGGCAGGGCCTCCACCTCCTCTGTGGTTACAGAAAAGCACAATTATTACAGTCGCACTCTCGCTTCCCAGAGAAATCACTGAGATTGAGGCTTGATTTCAAGGCCAGGCAGGGTCAGGCCTGTCCCACAGTCAAGTGCAGGGGAGAGGACATCTAATCCCGCTGCTCCCGCGGATTGGGAGCAGCAGAGGCGGCTGGAGGGGAAGCAGGCTGAGGTGTGGTGCAGCAAAGGACCCAGCCAAGGAAGCTCTAGGCCTCAGAGCTGCAGGCTAAGGAAGGCGCCTGGCACTGCAGAAGGGTTTCCGGGCCAGGAAAGTGCCCAAGTGGGAGAAACACACATTGAGGTGTTATTAAAATTCACCTAATTATTCTGGAGACACTAAAGCCAATGTGCCGTTTGTTCCTTGGGAGACAGAATGATTGAGAAGGGTCTCGGTGGGGATTGGGAGACACTGAGGCGTTACCTGCCGAGCGAGGCATGTGGAGGCGGCCCAGGGACCCAGCGGCGGGCCTGTAGGCAGCCAGCGTCACAGCCAGTGGCAAAGGCAGGAAACAAGGCCCTGGTGCTGGTGTGGAAATGGTCTGAGCGGGGCTCAGGCCTGAGCTGGGCTGTGAGTGGCCATCCAGTTTCCACCTGCGGGCTTAGGAGGGCCTTGTCCTTAACCTTCCCAGGCTGTCCTCAAGATGTGTCCTGGTACAGCTGTTTCTGGCCCAGACAGGGTTGAGCTCTTCAGCTAGGTGATCAGAGATGGGAGTTCTGGAAGTACCAGAGACCCGGACGTTGCTTTTGGGAGTGACAACCTTGGCTGGGTCAGGGCATAGCCTATTACCAACTGGCCCTCGATATGAGTCCTCCTTGGCCAACATGGAAGCTCTCTGACCTGCTGGGTGTTCTGACCCAAGGCAGAGAGATGGTGCAGGCCAGGCCAACTTTCTGATCTGCTGAGAGTTTCAGTGGTCACTTCCTGAAGGTGGCCCAGCCCAGGCCAGGGACAAAAGAGAGCCCAGGAGACTTTTCCCTCATCCCAGCTGTGCTTCTCTGTGCCTGGGACCACACGGTCCAGAAGGCAGGAGCTCCCCGGGGTGGAGAGATGGATCTTCGGGTAGGGTTCCTGCTGCAGGAGAACTCGGGCTGGTACAGAAAAGTGCCTCCACCTTGAGCCTCCCCCGCCCGCCTCCCCCCCATGGCCCTGGAACGGTCCCAGCTCAGCCTGGGAACATCTCCGGCTGATCCATCTGGATCCAAGTGTGAGAAAAGTTCATTTCAGACCCAGCTTGACATTCCCAGGTGGCAAGTTAGCACTAACATCTCAATCTGTATGCGACATTTCAATCAAGCGAGGAGTAACAAAAGCAGAACCATTAACATTCGGAGCTGTTCACCAGTGGTAATGACGGGAAACTCGCTCAGAAACTGGAAATTACCAAAAAGAGAGAAGTGTGTGGAGAGGTGGGGGAGGGGAGGTGGGAGGAGGTGGGGGCAGGGAATGATTTTTCTACACTTAGGCCAAGATCCAATGTTTGGATTAATGGTGCCATTACCAAAGAGAGGGCTGCCGATTATGCTCATTCTTAAAATGTTTTTGCTGGCAATTAAACGGCTGGAGTTATTGATCTTTGTTGATTTTATGTCCTCCTAATTTGCATAATCTATTAAAGATGAATGATTCATGATGTGTTTATTATGGGGACAAACAGAATGTGCTGGAGGTACTGTCAAGGTGAGAAACGGGGCAGTGCCCAGACACTTGATGGGCCACCTCGGGAGTGGGTCCAGCATGGTGGCCTTGGGGCCAGGACTTTATGGGTAGCAGTAAGCAGTGATGCAAGGACAGCAGACACAAGAGACTTGGACTTGGGCTAGGTTCTTCTAGAAAGATCTTGGCATCTGTGAAAACTTCAAGCACAGCTGGCATATGGGAGAGGCTTTGGGAATATTTGTAGACGTTCCCTTTGAAGATTCTTAAAAAGCATATTTTGTTGGAAAATATGAAGGACTTTGGTCAAGAAAGAAAAGGGGAGGCTCTTTCTGGGCAGGTGTGTGCTAACCGTGAGGGAGCAGGGAGGTCGTCTGTGTCCACAGCCTGGCTTGGGTGTACGAAGGTGTTCCGGGCCCCGTCGTCATCCCCTGTGTCTCGGGCACCCAGCTCATCTTCCTCCCTGGGGACAGGCAGCTGACGCTGTAAACCTTCAGGGATGAGTCCTGGGGAAACCTGCCCAGCAATGCCCTAGCCCAACCTGGAGAGCCGACCTTATTGATATTCCTGCCACCTCCTGGCACGAGAGGCTGATTTCAAACTTCACCAGCCACTTGATACAGCTGTTCCACAAGGTCAGGACTGAGAGGAGAGAGGAGCCCGGGCTATTGTGTGGAGGGGAGAGTGGGGCCCAGTGGGCCAGGACACAGCTAATCACATTGCAAGCAAGGCTGGCTGCCAGTGTCTGGGGCTTGGCCTGATAGTCTCCCCTCCCCACCTTCCATCTTGGAACCAAGGAGAGAGACGGACTTTTCTGGGTGGTGTTTGCAAGTTCTGCCGAGATTTTAATTTCACTGCATCACAACTCAGCGAGCTGCCAAGTCAAGCTGGTTATTTAAATTTATCACCCACTTTCCCTTCCGCCGCTGGGCTGCTCGAGCTCAGCGGCATCTCTTCTCTCCAGCCCACTGCTCTAGGCTGCTGGTCTGGAACGGAGCCGAGTCTCTCCAAAGTGATAAGGAAAAGGGGACCAGCTAGAGGAAAGAGTGAGTTGGGGGTACTCGGGCCCCAGGCTGCCTCAGTTTGGCTGGTGGTGGCTGGTACCTTCTTCTATCAACTTCTTACCCTTCCAGAGGACCCCATGGGGGCTGTCATCAACCCCTCAGTAGTCCCAAGGACCTCTGGACCAGGACTTCAGTGAAGACTCTTGCTCCAACTGGGTGCTGGTGCCTTCAAGTCTCCCATCATTGGTAGAAAAGAGCTCTTCTTCATCCCCATGACATTCACCTTGGCCTCTCCCTTCCTGTGTCTATCCAGGTCTTCAGCCATAGAGGAACATGAAGGGACACAGGCAGCCGTGTTGATCTGGGAGAAGATGAGTACTAGTTTCAGGATGCCCCCAAGTCCCTTGGAGAGGCGCCTGAGCATTTAGAGGGTCCCTTGTCCTGGTGGAAGTCCACAGTGAAGAGGAGCACAGGCTCCCTACCCTGGAGGCCACACAGAGCGAGACAGGGAGTGTGTGGCAGCTCTCCACGCTAACCCTAGCAGCCCAGGAATCCACCCGTCAGTCTCTGGAGCTGCTGCCCTGAGCAGGCTTCACTGGCCTCCGGTGGGCATCGCCACCGAGCGCTGGGAGAGCTTCGCGCGAGGGTAGTTCTTCCATCCTCCTTTTAGTCCCAGAGAGGTAGTGGAGGAATTGAGATCCGTGTCCAGAAACAAGCGGGCTACACTCCCAAAACCCAGCTGGATAAAAATGTAACAAGAATTGTCAACACACAACCAAACCTCACGCTCTGGTGCCAGAAGGAGAAGGAAACTCAAAGCCAGAGCTGTAGGTGAGAGCCCGAGGGTATCACCCTGGAGCTGGACCCTACCTGGGGGAGACTGCGGTTATAACACAGCAGACAGGAGCCACGAACTTGGGTCCAAAAGAAGCAGGAAGCCAGAAGTGAGGATCACCCTGTGTAAAGCCAGGAACAGAGTAAGACAATGCCGTGTGTGAAAGGGAAACACACAAATTATCCCAGTGGCCCAGGGAAGCAAGTGAGGGAAAAATCGTCTCCATGAAAAATGGAGTCCCCACTCCTGACCCTGGTTCAGGGTCCAAATTTATACCTGAGTATGTGGCAGGAACCCCCAGCCAAGACCTGACATAAAAAAATTTGTCTAGGATAATAACCTACTCTGAAACCCCAGCAGGAACCAGGGCAAACCTTCTCTACAGAGGCATTCCCGAACCTAGGGCACATGGAACCCCAGCAGTAAAGATGAGCTCACTACGAAAAATTACACCCCTCATGTAAATGCAAGCTATCATGAGGGGGAGTTAGCAGGAGCAAGAAATAGGACAATCAATACCCCTAAGAACTAGAGAGAATAGAACAGTCCGAAAGCAACTATAAAATAAGCATGTTTCATATTCCAAAAAAGATAACAGAAAAGCATCAGTTTTGTGTTTATCTCGGATCTAGATCCTTCATGCCCTCCGCACCTCCACCCCCGGCAGCTCAGCCAATCTTCTGGTAATAAAACCCAAAAAGGCCAGGAAGGAAGACCACAGCTATATATAGCTTATTGTTTTGGGGTCCAGGAGCCTCAGGCGCAGCCCTGAGAGTAGAGCCTGTCCCCTGCTTATCCAAGCTCCCAGGCTCAAGTGTCAGCACAGACTCTTCCCTTTGGAAAAAAACGTCTGAACTTTGGAAAGCTAGGGACAAGGCAAACACAGTCCTCAGCTTCTCTACCCTCTGTGGATAGCAGTGGAGGGAGAAGGTGGTTTTATTCAAGCGTTTGGGAGAAACTTCTCTTGATGCCTTAAGGC